TATAGTGGATGTTCCCATTAAAAATGGTGATTTTCCATAGTTATGTTAGTTTACCAGAGGGTAAACAGGTTGGAAACCTGCGAATTACAGTATGATCAGCATGGCACTATGGGGTACAAAGAATATATAGTTTGTCCATCTCTCCATCGTCTATGCCATCCTGGATGTGTTTCCATCTTTTTTGGAACCCCTATAATCTTCTCTGGGGATGGATCAACTGTGATTCTGAACTTCAACATGGCCACGGACGTTGATCAAATCGACAATCAAATGGATGATCGTTGGCTGCAAATATCTTGATGTTCATATCTCTCTATAGCAAAGTGTCGCATTGTAACAGCAAACGTAGTTCCGATCTGCCAAGAACGGACATCGTTGAGCCCCGATCAGAAGACATCATAAGTATCACAATCATTATAATCATTTGCGCCGGCTACAAGCTGAAGCAAATAGCTGCAACTACTGCGGAAGACCCAAGCAACAACCCACCATCCTAAAAGGATGTTCTGGCTGTGACTCAAAAACACCTCTGAACCCGCAAGATATCGCAAGATTGTCCATCCGACATTTTGCAATCAATCCCAAAATGGAAGTCCATACTTCTGAACATGTGGACCTTGGGCCATCATGGGCCATAAAATGGGCCATCTGGGGCCCAAAGCTTGGGCATGAGGCTCCCACATGAATGCGCACAAAGGTGCGGACAACTGATGAGACCTTCAAAAGAGGCTGCAGGTTTTGACGATGGTTCCATGCTGTCAAACACCGGCACCAAAGGTTAAGAGTCAGAAGCCTATATCGACTCTAGCTGGATGATTACATAGCGACATAGCGTGGAGATATTGCACAAATTTAGCCACCAAAGGGCCCACACATTGGTCATGTCAGTCATTTTACAGTATATCTTATATAGTTGTGTCATGTTTTGATCCAATTCCCGGTGTCATTAAAGGTTGAGACGTAGCCATGTATGTGACCCGTTTTGAGTAATTCTGCTGTGATGTGTTCATAATATATATATACTTTATTTATATATATATATCTATCTATTCATTTGTCCTCATGCCGGCCCCTTTCAGTGAATCAGTGACTCTTACTGTAGCAGCCACACAGACTGAGCTGCCCTGCCCCTCGTTTCTCCTCCGAAGCTGGACAAAAGCCTGGCCTTGGAGAAGATATTTCTCTGACCTTTTCAAGTTGAAACAGCAATACAATATGTAGCCAAACTTAGATGCTCATAATACAGTAATTAGTAACCCCAAGATACATCAAGAAATTAGAACAGTAGTTTACAGTACCACTGCTATAAAATAGTTTAGAAGGATCTCACCGTTCTGTCCTTTGGAGTTTCTGTCTATAATTAATTAGTTGGTAGTTGTTTTTTCCCAAAAAACCCTCAAAAAAAAAACAAATGCCGCTTCCGTTCAGCATGAAAGGTCTCAACATCCTGAGGTGCCTGCGCGGAGTGCATGGCTTGTGCATCGTAGTGAATCACAGTGCCGGGAGGAAATCTCCCGGGCATCCTGGCATCACGCCAAGAAAAAGAGATCACACTGGGAGAAAGGTGCATTTGTGTGGTTTGAATTGATTTGTCTACCTTCCTACCCACCTTTAATCTCAATGATTTGTTGGCTGTCAACTTCCTGAAGGACACCTAACTGACCTAGCCCTTTCCAACCTCTAGAAGCTGTATGAAGCAAATGAAGCTATATGAAGCTGTTTACATAGCCCGTGCGCACCCGCTCTCACGGAAACAATGTCTGCTGCATTAAACACCTTGGAACCCGGTCACATGTTCATCTCCTATCATGACTAACCTGGCCAGGCGTGCGCATTGGGACCTGAGCAAAAAGCTATGCTTTGGGACCCCCAGGAGCATCAGGAGCTTTGCTGAAGCCCAACCTGATCTAAGGTAGCTTTGCCCTGACCCATTAATCACCTCTGACGCCTATGACTAGTAATTCCCAACTTCCAACATCATTCAAAATCCGGGCTCTGGGCCACTTGGAGATCTATATTATTCTGGTCCAAACTGTATAGCCTGGGGCTACAGTCCTTGGGGCGTCTGCTGGCTCGCTGGGCCACGGACCTTCAGGGTAGAACAGGGTGCGCAGGGGAGCATCGCTGACGACAAAGAACTCCGCACCAGGCCAGTAATCGTCATGATGTGGCCTCTATGGCGGGTGGCTGCTTAGACTTGGGGAGGGTCACTTGACAATTTTGATGGCATTTGCACATTTTGAGGGGAAACGTGTGTACCTATAATAAGATCCTATAAGTACAGTATCTGATGATAATCTGATGCACCATGGGACTTGGGGCTTCCAAAGTTTGAGGTAACACCAAAAAAGGTCGGAAGGAGGCCAGCGTCCAATCCCGACATCATTCTTGCACTACCAAGAGCTTGGAGGTGGAGGTTTCAAAGCATCAAATAAATCTGTGAAGGAAACAAGATGAAGCCCACGAACCCGAATGCTCACACGTATGTTAATGGCACAGATGTCAAAACACATGGTTATGCAGTCACGCACAATACCTTTCTGCAATAGTTTATTTGAACAGTCTTGTGCATGTTTCCCTTGTTACCAGTCTGGAGTGTGGAGTGGAAAGTGTAGAGTGTGGAGTGTGGAGTGTGAAGTAAGGAGTGTGGAGTGTAAAGTGTGGAGTGTGGAGTGGGGAGTGTAGAGTGTGTAAAGTGTAGAATGCGGAGTGTAAAGTGTGGAGTATGGAGTGTTAAGTGTAGAGTGTAAAGTGTGGAGTGTGGAGTGTGGAGTGTAGAGTGTGGAGTGAGAAGTGTAAAGTGCAAAGTGTGGAGTGTGGACTGGAAAGTGTGGAGTGTAAAGTAAGGAGTGTGCAGTGTAAAGTGTGGAGTGTGGAGTGTAAAGTGTAGAGTGTGGAGTATAGAGCGTAGAGTGTAAAGTGTAGAGTGTGGAGTGTGGAGTGTAAAGTGTGGAGTGTAAAGTGTAGAGTGTGGAGTGAAAAGTGTGGAGTGTAAAGTGTGGAGTGAGGAGTGTAAAGTGTGGAGTGTGGAGTGGAAAGTGTGGAGTGAGAAGTGTGGAGTGGAAAGTGTGGGGTTGAAGTGTGGAGTGTAAAATGTAAAGTGTGGAGTGTAAAGTGTGGAGTGTAGAGTGAGGAGTGCAAAGTGTGGAGTGTAAAGTTTGGAGTGTGGAGTGGAAAGGGTGGAGTGTAAAATGTAAAGTGTGGAGTGTAAAGTGTGGAGTGAGGAGTGTAAAGTGTGGAGTGTAAAGTGTGGAGTGAGGAGTGTAAAGTGTGGAGTGTGGAGTGTAAAGTGTGGAGTGTGGAGTGTGGAGTGGAAAGTGTGGAGTTGAAGTGTGGAGTGTAAAGTAAGGAGTGTGGAGTGTAAAGTGTGGAGTGTGGTGTGAGGAGTAACAAGTATGGAGTGTGGAAAGAGGAGTGTAAAGTATAAAGTGTGGAGTGTGGAGTGTACAGTAAAGTATGGAGTGTGGAGTGCAGAGTGTGGAGTGGAAAGTGTAGAGTGTGGAGTGCGGCGTGTAAAGTGGGGAGTGTGGAGTGTAGAGTGTGGAGTGTAAAGTGTAAAGTGTGGAGTGTGGAGTTTAAAGTGTAGAGTGTGGAGTGTGGAGTGGAAATTGTAGAGTGTAGAGTGTGGAGTGGGGAGTGAAAGTGCAAAGTGTGGAGTGTGGAGTGTAAAGTGAGGAGTGTAAAGTGTGGAGTGAGGAGTGTGGAGTGTGGAGTTTAAAGTGAGGAGTGTAAAGTGTGGAGTGAGGAGCGTGGAGTTTGTAAATTGTAGAGTGTGAAGTGTAGAGTGTGGAGTGTAGAGTGTAGCGTGTGGAGTGTGGAGTGGAAAGTGTAGAGTGTGGTGTGTAGGGTATGGAGTGTGGAGTGTAAAGTGTGGAGTGTAGAGTGTGGGGTGTGGAGTGTAAAGTGTGGAGTGTAGTGTAAAGTGTGGAGTGTGGAGTGTAAAGTGTGGAGTGAGGAGTGTGGAGTGTAAAGTGAGGAGTGTAAAGTGTAAAGTGAGGAGTTAGAGTTTGTAAATTGTAGAGTGTGAAGTGTGGAGTGTAAAGTGTGGATTGTAAAGTGTAGAGTGTGGAGTGTGGAGTGTAAAGTGTGGAGTGTAAAGTGTGGAGCGTAGAGTGTAAAGTGTGGAGTGTGGAGTGTAAAATGTGGAGTGCGGAGTGTGGAGTGGAAAGTGTGGAGTGTAGAGTGTAAAGTGACGAGTGTAAAGTGTGGAGTGAGGAGTTTAAAGTGTGGAGTGTGGAGTGGAAAGTGTGGAGTGTAGAGTAAGGAGTGTGCAGTGTAAAGTGTGGAGTGTGGAGTGTAAAGTGTAGAGTGTGGAGTGTGGAGTGTAAAGTGTAGAGTGAGGAGTGACTCAGGTGAGGAGTTCCCCCATAGACACGGCGACGCCACAGGAAAACCAGAGACTCGAGACGAGACACGTGGGTGCAAAAAAACGAGCATTTCGTGCGAGACTTCCTCCAATTTTGATATTTTCGACACGTTATCAAACAGGTTGGAATGTCACAAAGTGCCACCCCTGCCACGCAAAACGACATGACAACCTGCTTGGACACATTCGAATAGGAGTTGTTCTCCAGCTTCCCCCATAGACACGGCGACGCCACAGGAAAACCAGCGACTCGAGACAAGACACGTAAATGCAGAAAAACCAGCATTTCGTACGAGACTTCCTCCAATTTTGGCATTTTCAACACATTATCAAACAGGTTGGAATGTCACAAAGTGCCACCCCTGCCACGCAAAACGACATGACAACCTGCTTGGACACATTCGAACAGGAGATGTTTTCCAGCTTCCCCCATAGACACGGCGACGCCACAGGAAAACCAGCGACTCGAGACAAGACACGTAAATGCAGAAAAACCAGCATTTCGTACGAGACTTCCGGCAATTTTCACCGTTGGCAACATGACGAAAGGACACGTTTTGCAGCTTCCCCCATAGACACGGCGAGGCCACGGGAAAGCCAGACACGCGAGACGAGACAGGTGGGAGCACCAAAACGAGCATTTCGTGCGATACTTCCCCCAATTTTCACACTTTGTAGCGTCAAAATCGACGTTTTCCTACGAGTTTTCCTTAGAACGTGAAAATTTGCAACCTCAAAATCGATGTTTCGTGCGAGGCTTCCGTCAATTTTCAGCACATGTCAGAAAATGCCACGCCTGCCACGGAATTTGCACCTTGTCGCCACTTGACGCAGCCCTGCCAATGCGATTTACAAAAAACACGCAACAGGACACGTCTAAAGTGCTGCGCCTGCCACGAAAAATGACGATGGACACGTCCAAAGTGCTGCGCCTGCCACGAAAAATGCAACACATCTTCTGAAAACGTCGCAAAAGTATTGCGCCTGCCACGCAAAACGACTTTCGACACGTTCCAGAACACGTCTGAATGTCACGAAGTGCCACGCCTGCCACGCGAAACAAAGCAACGAGACGTTGGAAACATCCAAGAATGACCACTCCTGCAGAACTTACCATAGGCACGGCCATATGGTCCTCGCGCGGACGGTTGCGGACGGTTGCGACCGTGAACGCAACGTCGAGCGAACACACCCTCAACCCCCAGACCCCCAGAGTGAAACGGGAACCCTTGCTACGCATTCGGGAAAAATGGGAAGTATGTTTCGTGCAAGTTGTTGCTTCCTGGGGCACATGTCAGAAGCTGGCAAAACAGAATTACACAAGGACAAAGCTCGCACTGATGACTCCAGCAGAACGACCTTGCCATCAACAGCTCTCTTTATTGCTGAATGTACTAAGCCAGCAACACATTCATGAACACATCCTCCCTCAGAGGTCGGCGGTGTATCAAAACATGGACCATCCTGGACCTGTTCATGGGGCCATGGGGCCATGGGGCCATGCCCATTGTAGCACAGCGTTTTACAGGAAAGCAGGGCTCCAGTTTGGGAGATCCTACAGTGGCAACAAGACCATCTTCATGCAGTCGAATCGCTCATCTTCCGGCTCTTTGGGCCGATTGGCATCCTGCCCAGAAGATGGACAGAATCCACCGGCACCAACTGGTGCCTTACCACGACAATGTTACGTTGAAGTTACTACGAGCATTTTGGAGAAAACCATAGCAAACCTTATATGACTGCATGACTCGAACTATCTTATAAATTCTTATAACGTCTTTAATTTAATGCCCCTGTGGCCGCCAACCAGCAACCTGCACGTACAGGGGCTTCAGTCCTGGCTTCTGGGGCCATGCCAAACTCGCGTTTGACGCGCCTCAGGGATTGCCAGCGGGGGAAAATGAAATGATCCACCCTCAAACGGTGGGAATGGAACCAATCAAAATTGAATGCATCATCAGGAATGATGACATACACACACACAATATGATCAGGGAATATGCAAACCATGTTCAGCCCCAACCCTATAATTTATGATGTTCAGTTTCAATTTAATGCCCAAACATGGATCAAGATGCTTTAACCAGAAAGTCAGCAAGCAGTCTCAATGCAAATTCATGTGTCCCCTTGGCAGGCTGACCAGCACTACTACGCTTGCATCCCCATTTGCACATCTTCTCCAGTCAACCTGCAGCTGTGCGCAGCGTGGCTCTGGTCGCATCCAACCTTTGACCGAAGAGGGGTGCGGCACTTCGTCGGATGCTGTGCCATGTTTGAGTCCTGGTGGTGCAAAAAGGCCTCTGGACTTGAGAGAAACTTCTGAACAGAGAGGCCTCTGGGAGGTTTTCAAGAGCGATGTCAAACGCTTCTTGAAACCTTAGCCAGTCAACAGCTGCCCAAAGGCACTCGGAGCATGCCACAACATGTAAACTCATAGACCGTGTGTCGCTTGGCTTTCCGGCTGAGCCAGGTAGTCTGGCAACTTGGGCCCAAAAATCTGGAAATATTCTTGCCCGTTGGCGCGCCTAAGCTAGCAAACTTCTTGCACTCTCAGCATGGAACGCTGGCCGGCAGATCATCTAATTGAAAATGCCATGGATTGCAGCTGTGTGCACCTATGATTCACATTGATTCACCATCATCCTCTACCCACCATCCTCCCGATGGATCATCTTTCCATATCTTTCCCATGCCCAGCTGAGGACTCCTGCGGCTCGAGGGCCAGTGGTTCTGAGAACAGGCGCCGTTTCAAGATGAAGCCAGCAGTCTTCGGCCCATGCGCGGCTGTGGCTTGGATTTCCAGCAGGGTTGAACCCACCAAACATGGGGAAATGACCCCGCCAAAAAAAAGAAAACTGGATGCTACACTCAAAGCAACTATAGAGAAACCACTAGATATAGTTGGCACAGGTGCAGAGTCCCTGATTTCTGGAAACACCCCTTTTGAGGGCACATAATGCTCGGAGTTCTTACTGGAGCTGCCACTATCTCTTGAAATTCTATCGGAGGTTGTCCAACAATCATCCCAGAACCACTTTTTTAACTACCCCGGCAACAATAGCAATGACAACAATGACCGGACTTCATGTAGCAACAAGACAACTGCACCATCATGTGAGCTGCCGTCAGAACGCTTTGTTTTGGCCTTGCTCCAACATATAATAAGAGGCATGATATTGCTTTTTTGGGGGCCCCATTGCCCCGTTGTTTTGCAGTTTTGGGAAAACATGTTTCTTTCAGAGCATGCAACTACAAAATGCTACCAGCATTCTTACCAGCGAACCTGCCTGCCTCAAGCTCAAATTTGTCGATGCTTGACATTGCAACAACCAGCACGGCTGAAATCCTGAATAAATTCCACATCATGGCAGCCGCCCAAAAAACTTCCAAAGTTCCCCTGCCCCTCCCCCCCAAAAAAACATGAGGGCCACACCCGGATGAAGGACCTGAGTTACTCAGCGAATTCTGGTCTGCTGGCGCCTTGCCAACTTTCTCTCACTTCTCTTTCTGAACACTCAGAAGCAAACCCTGGCGGGGGACGTGGTCGGCCTCTCAGAAGGACAAAGCTTCAATCCTACATCTTTGGAATCTTGGTACTTGTACCGCACCCGATGAACACGACGTAAACTCAACAGAGCGTTTAGCACCGGATGGACAACTCTCGGTTGAGTCCCACGGAACCCCACCTGCTGAAAGTACAGCCCAGCTGCAAAGCTGGCATAGGTGCCACAGCCATGACATAACAAGGCTTGGTCAGTTGATGTCAGTTGGTCAAAGAGAACATTCCTTGCTGAGTAAGGAGGAACAATCTACTACTTCATCGCTGTGGAATGTTCCAGAACTGAAGTTGTTGCTCTGGATTTCCTTGTGATTTCTTAACACGCGACACGCAATGGGGCAAGGACTCATTTCATCTTATTTCCATGTTCTGCATGGTTCCATATGTATTTCATATTTCTGTCATCATGCTTGTCCTTTAGCAAAACCAGTGTGACTGACTTGGATGCACTTTGGGTGGTCCAATACCATTGTCGGCCTGCGGCATCTTTCATTTCCTCAAGCCCAATGAGTTTCAAAGGTTCGATGGTGATCCAACCCAAGCAACCAAGCAAAACTTACGTCTGCTACTCATCTGTCTGGTTGCGTCAAGCTTCTTCAGTTTAGACCACCTTTAAGATCTTTAAGCAAGAGTTTTGAGACCTCTGTAAGTAGGAGAACGACTTTGGCTCCTCAAATTCAAGCAACCATGGCGGTTTTCAAGCGGTTTGTGCCATAATCTGCTCTGCGCCAATGATGGGGACCGCGATCACAGGTGCCTTTTGACAGCCATGTGATCCATGTGCTACGTCTCTTGCTTTTCAAGAGAATCCTTGACAGGTTTTGGAACCGGAACTCCTTGAAACTCACAAGAATCACATGGAGGTTGATGTGCTCCATTGATGTTATATTCTGATATATAATATATTATAATATCATATACCCTCTGGTTACCTATTAAAAATTGTGATTTTCCATGGCTATGTTAAATAACCAGATGGTAATCTGGTTGGTCCTTTCCATGTCGGCCTGCAAAATCATTGGCCTGCCGGTCATCCCAAAAAACGGATGGATCGCTCCAAAAACTGTCATCTTCGGGGTGAAAATCGCCGCCGATCTCGGCTCAAAGAGGGAAGATTTCATCACTCCTTCTGGTGGTTGCCATGTCTTCCTTGGCTTCGAAACATGGATAACATACTGTGGAAGAAATCCTGCACCAGTTGGTAACTATTGGGAACTATACAACACTATAAATAATGGGATTACAATGGGATAAACCATCTACTAACTGGTGCAGGATTTCCTCCATCCACAGTATGATAACATGGTCTGATTATCGTTTCAGCTTCCAACACTTGAGAATCCGATTTTAGGAACAACAGAAACAGAGACAACATCCAATTTTGGGCGACATTTTGGTGCAGTTGTCATGGACTTGTTCAGGTGTTCCACATCTTTCCACCATGTTGTTTTTCTCTTCCGCAGATTCTACTATTCTTATGGAGGTGTTCCATCATTCTTTGGAACGTTTTCCACCCATTCTCGGTGGCGTTTCCCGGTATTGTGTTATTCATGTCTTGATTTTTATGCACACAATTGTATCAAGCTCTAGTTCTTGCATCTCAAACTCCAAACATCTCGAGCTCCAGACCAGATACTCCACCCTAAGCCAGTAAAATGTAACTGGCGGATACCAAACTGGACAAACTTGATATGTGGCTTCTTTATGTTTTCTTGGAGAACCATCGTCTTTGACATAGTTTAACGCATGTAGTCTAACTAGATTTAACATTGATTTACATTACTCGACTATTTATTTGGAGTTTTCCCAAAATGGGGACACCCCAGTCATCCAAGTCAGCCATTTGAGTCTTACAAGACCCATGGTGACCGGTGGCATAAATAAACCACTCCCAGTCATGAGTGATTTATGGCATTGTTTTATCTACATAGTCAAAATCCGTCCAGTCCCCTATCCATCCATAATCCACCCATATTAATCAGTATACATCCACATTACTCCATATGGATAACAATTAAGATGAATATCAATCCATATTAATACATATCCACACACACACATATATATATATATATACACATTTATATATATACATACATGTATATATATATATATACAAATTTATATACATAATTTAGGACGTGCCTTAGCCTCTTTGCCTGTGAGGCCTTAGAGCTATCCATAAAATTTCTAGAGCTATTCATAAAATGACAGTCAAATCCCCAGAGCTATTCCTAAAACTATGGCCAAATATGCAGAGCTATTCCTAAAGCCATGGCCAAATTAGTAGGGTTATTCCTAAAAATATTGTTGAACTGGAAAGCATATTCCCAAGAATGGTCAACTTGTATCATGGCATGAATAAACCACAAAGTTGACCACGAATACCTGGCCATACACAAACACTACCAATGTAAACATAAGGTATGTGTTAGTTCATGAACTCGGTCACAAAAATGAGAACATAGAGTATCAAATCATGCAACCATGCATATGGGGCTAACATTCTCTATTTGCATTGCAGTTGCTTAACAGAAAGTTCCATTACAAGCGCACTACTTCTCACGTAGGTATATCCTCAAAGTACATGCAAGGGAACTAAGCAACGTACCCATACGACAAACCAAAACTCGTTCAAGTAAACCTTCAAAGAACACCACTTACATACTGTGCTGAAAATTGTGACTGGCTCTGAGATCATTGGAGTCATTAAATGATGACTACTCTATGACTATGGACTTACACTAGGAGACTATGACTATGCTTTGATTTGATGCGAGATCAGACAAGTTAATAGTCAAAACTTGAGGTACTAAAAGAGATAACCAATAATTGACTAAGTGACGACCAAGTACATAAGAAATGTCAAGTTTCCCGAATCATCGTCATGAAAAAACGAATATCAAACACCATCAACAAAATGCATCATACCAAAAAAAACTGATTTATGATCAACTTTTTTGATAGGGTAAGATGCCTAATGTTAATGAGTAAGTGGTATGCTAAGGAATGGCTCGGAGCGGTTCAGAGCGGTTCCTCAGCATGATTTTAGGAATAGCTCGGAGCGGTTCAGAGCGATTTAGAACCATTTCTAAAAAAAAACCTTTAAAGAATGCATATAGTTCAGAGCGGTTCAGAGCGGTTCAGAGCGGTTCAGAGCGATTTCTAAAACTTGAAAGCTTATGAATGGTTCTAAATAGCTCAGAGCGGTTCAGAGCTATTTCTAAAACATGGCTGAGGAATAGCTCGGAGCGGTTTAGAGCGATTCCTCATCACCCCGAAATCACGAATGTAGTCTCATCCTGTTTTTTTCAAACAACAAGATTGGAACAAAATCATACCTATTATATTAATTTCATATATTCATTTAATATATATATATATATTATCATAAATTGTGTTAATGTGTTATGCTCTCTTGTGTTTTGTGTGTTTCTGATCTCTTCAAGTAGTTCTCAAGTCACAATGATTACAGCTACTATTGACTATGACTTTCTTACCATCTACTTACAACTTGGAACGAAACCGGACATGATTACAACCAAATCTTAGTCATGGCCTGGTTGGCTGGGGATTATACCAACACAAAGAAGTGACAATAGGAATGTGGTGGGACTAAATTTGGAGACCAAACACTCATTGAGAAAAAAATAGTTGAACACCCGGCGTGACTGGACTAAACTACACCAAACCAATGAGGGACAGCCAAAGATTTATAGTTCCGGTTCAGGGCCTCTTTCTCACCCTTGTTGAAACCAAAATGAGAAACTGAATGGATCCGGGTCTAAAGAACGGGCCCATCCACTTTCCCGAGCCGTAAACTCTAGATGGATTGTCTAGCCATGTCTTGGAATTACATGGGAAGGGTTCCCATCTTGGAAGGATTCCCAAGGGATGGGGGTCTTGGTAACGAATAGCTAGCTCTACAGTTCCCCCAGATTTTTTTTTGGGAATAGCTCTGGAAATTTTGGGAATAGCTCTGGGAATTCCTTGAGATTTTTGGGAATAGCTCTGGGGATTCCTTGAAAATTTTGAGAATAGCTCTGGAAAGGAATTTAAAATTAGGTCTCTCCAGTCTTTGAAATTTTGGTTCCATGCCCCCGGCCCGGAAAGCAAACCCCGGATTGCAAGATTTCCTCTCACGGGAATGTCCCTCAAACCGTCACAAGAATACTCAACCCTCGGCCCCGCCCCCAAAAACCGGGTTTTGATTTGAACCATCGGGGTCGGAGGCATTGGGTCGGTGGGATATTGAAATCTGGGGGATGGCAGTTGGCCCCCCAACTAGATGGCATTGAAGGACACGCAGAAGGGATTAATATATGCTATTATAAGATAGGATTTGATTTGATTTTAGATTTACATGCCATACCAGCCACCATGGCCTTGCTTATTACCAAACGACCAATGGTCAGTGACCCCTGTTTACTGCACGCGAAACCACTCACAATTGTGAATCGGAACGGGCATTTATCATGTTACATACTCTGTAACTCTTTTCCAAAAGAACATTGCAGATGGGTTGCTGAACTTGTTCATTCAGATCAGTGATATCCGATGGAAAGGTGAACATTGAATGGTGAGTTTACCTGCAGTTCTCACCTACAGAGAATGATATAATGACCGGGTATCACCGCATTCTATTACCAAAAGATCCTCCTTTCAGAAGAAATGGTGCACTGAGACTTAAAGGTTTAATTTCATGAAGTATTCTGTTTTCAGGCTTCCATGACAAGGAAATGCCGAGTTCATCATGGATAATTGACGACTATAGTGATGCTTCTACACTCTATCAATAAAAAAAGGGTTGACTTGACACGATATGACATGATCCGACTGTATGACACAAACAGAGAGATGAGTTGCTGTGTCATGATGACATGAAAAATGATATGCGAATGTGGCCATGATATGGTTCATGCTGGTCATGAACTGCCGGAATCACAGAAGGATATTGATAGATAACATTCAACCGTTCAACCCCTAGAAGGAAATATATATATATATATAAATAAATAATATATATAATGATATTATATATAGCTAGCGGCTGGTGCAGTGTAGTCATGACTCGTGCATAGAAGATTCAGCAGTCCATGGGTTTCAAGAACCATGGGCGAATCAGCTCCGGAATGACATTGAAACATTAAATTACGGCCAGCCAAGGAAGTTATATGATGACAATGGCTATAACTACTCATGAAGCAATGAGTGGGAACATATGGGAACCATATCTTAGCATGATGCCAGTTATGGCATTGGTCAAATACTTAATTCCGGGGGATCCCGCGAAAAAGCCTAGGCACACGCTGCTTGACAACCCTTGCACATGAGTAAGAATCAGTGAGGGCACCCCTATTGTATGATTAACTGAGGCTTATTTTGATGGGCTTGGATATCCTGTGCCCATAAAATGTAACATTGTTGCAACATGCAACATTCATGAAATCCTTCAGTGGAAACAATGAAGGGTGATTTGTTGGTTCATTGGTGTGTCTTGAAATCTCAACCAATACAACGGAAGAACGTGCGAGGTCCCCGTCGACCAAAGACCACTTATTTCCGATAACATGTGTAGGTGGAACCTTGGGTATACTTGAGTTGGTCACACTTACATTGAAGGGGCCCCTGTTCCAACACAATCTCAATATTGTGCACAATGAATTTAGGAACAGTTCTGGGACATCCTTGATGTCATTTTAGGAATGGTTCTGAGAAATACTTCAGAAAATTGGGAATTGCTTTGGGGTTTCCCTGAAAATTTTGGGAATAGTTTTGGAAATTCCTTTAAAATTTAGGAATGGTTCTGAACAGATTTTATTATTCTGGGACATCCTTGAAAATTTAAGGAATAGTTCTGGGAATTCCTGGAAAATTTGGGGAATAGCTCTGGGATCCTCACAGAAAGCTCAAATAAAGAGGCTAAGGCATCTCTTAATACATAATTATACATACACATAATATAGTCAAATTCATTCAAACTCCATCCACCAAGCAGCGCTGCCCAAACGTCCCACCAGTTCCTCCGTGATCAGCTGCAGCTTGCGCTGACTCTCTGCCAGGATGGCCAGGTCCAAGGACCGCGCGGGGCCGTGGAGCTTCGCCACGCCCACGATGAGCCTCACTTGTTGGACCCCAAGACAGCGAGGAAATGGAATGGAAATGGAGGAAATTCTGGAGTTGGATGGGAACATATGGGAAAAACATGGGACAAATATGGAAAAACATGAACAAAAACATGGGAAACATAGGAACAACTCAAGAAAATAGCGGGGAAGAAAGATACAAAAGCAGATGATCAAGCATGCATGCAATGAATCGTCTGGCATGGTCTTAATCTGTGAAATTGTTCAGCTGCGGCTGCTTGTGTGCCACTGATTTGAGGGAAAAATCAAAGGCGGTGCCTTCGGCTGAAACCTCTGAATCGAAAAATAAAGCATGAAAAGCAAACGTTTGACCATGTTAGACCATGTCTTTGCGGCTCTCAGATGTCTTAAGTTTTCAGTAGTTATTAAATCTGGAATTATCACCCTGACAACGTCAGAAAAACAACATGGCCCCACATACACACAAAAACACCAAAGCATGACTCCTTCAAAGCGCATGGATTGCACATGATTGCACCAACGATGTGGTATTGCAAATGAACCCCCAAATGACTCGGTTGATTTGCACCACTCACCCTGAAAGGTTGGGCACTCATCAATGGTCATCGTTTCCTGAGTCGGAGCTCAGTTTGGAATGGACAAACAAAGGGATTAAAACACAAGCACAAATCATGCTGATGGAACTTCACTTCATGCGTGTTCTTCTGTTTGAGTCACCTCAGTGCTTTGCAAGTTTGCACCCGTTCCAGGAAAAAAAACACAAACTTGTTGTCTTTATAAAGAACACACACATACATATATACAATAATGCAACATAATGTGCATTACAGCGCAATATTTATCTATCTATCACACTACCTATTTATCTATCACAATATCTATTTATCTATCTATCTATCTATATCTATCTATATCTATCTATCTCTATCTATCTCTATCTATCTCTATCTATCTCTATATCTATATCTATATATATATATATCCATCTATATCCATCTATATCTATCTATATCTATCTATATCTATCTATATCTATCTATATCTATCTATATCTATCTATATCTATCTATATCTATCTATCTGTCTAGTCTAATCTCATCAAATCTAATCTAATCATATCTAATCTATCAATATATCTAGTCTAATCTAATCTAATCTTATCATATCTTATCTAATATCATCTCATCTACAGTAATCTAATTCTATCTATCTAATTTAATCTATCTATCCTATCCTATCCTATCCTATCCATCTTTCTATCTATCTATCTATCTATCTGTCTATCTTGAATAACAATATAGGTACAACCATCTTGGAGGAGATGACATAGCCACTGGAGGCTATGCAAGCGCACCGTCTTCCAACGCATTCTTGACCTCAAAAGACCTATGACAAATAGATTTGCAATAACATGTAATATGGGACATGTATTGTTGTTTTTCCCAATGTCAGAACGAACTAGTGTGGTAAACCCAATTCTAAACCATCCCCAAAATCACTGCAAAATGAGTGGTAACATCCCCAAATGGTAGGTAAACATTTTTGGGGTTACCAAGTGGCCACAAGCCTGCCATCAAAGCATCGCTACGGTCAGCATCCAACAGCGTAAAGACTTCATCGGGATCTCGGATGGATAAGCCCTGCGCTGCGAACCACTGCTTGGTACTGGGACCTTGCATATGGGCAAGGCAATGGCAGAGGATCAAGGTACAACACAAGTATCCTACTATATACATATGAGTTTGTTTGAAATATATAATCATATACATTAATATACGTGTATGTATATATATAATTATATATATAATTATATATATAATTATATATATAATTATATATATATGTATACAATCCTGTACGTTGACATGGATCAAATCGTTCACTTCAAGAACTGGAATCTGAGGTGGTTCCACAGAAATCAATGAACAACGTTGAACAACACACGGTTTTCACACAGCTTCAGTTCCAATGGCGCGATTTGAATCATTCGTTGATTCCAAGTTACTTGCCATGACGTCCTTCCATTTCTTTCGGCTAATCATGGTGTCTCCCGACTGATCCGCCAAATCGAAGAAGGCCTTCATCTTGTCTGCATGGAGCCTCTCAGGCTCGATGGTCACCACACATGGCATAACAATGGAGACATGCAACAACTGTGTTTAACAATGGTTAAGAACTGTGTTTGGTGGAACCTTGCAGAAAGTGAACCGTGCACCTCCAGGCCGATGATGGCTTTGGGTGTGCTAGCGTCTGCATATTGTATAATTATATAATCTATAATAGTATAATTCAGTGTCGTCAGTGGGACCTCAAGCAATGGTGCCACTGCCGTTAAACACCGAATGCAAACCGGGCAGGGAACTCAGGTCTTCTGAACGGTGGAAAGAGACTTGGAGAGCAGCATCGCGCCTGTCTCTCCTGGCAACGTCTCTCATCATGATCACATCATCTGACTGCGCCACGCGTAGAGTTTCCTGCATAAAAACTCCGTTTATGACCTTGGAGCGAAGAATTTGTAGTTGCACCGCATGAAATTTTTGCAGCACAGCACCCAAACTGATAACAGCATATAACAGCAAGCTAAGGCCCCTCATCAGGGCCCCTCTTGAGGGGCCAACTCTGCAGCTTTTGTGTTACATCTATCTCACTGTAGTCCATGTTGATTGATTGATTAGAGACCAAAACTTGGCTCTGATGGCAAGGTCTTTGTATATGCCAGGTGAGATGTCGCTAGCTGGTGCCATCCGGTGCCCATATTGTCTGCTATTATTTGGCAACAAGCGCTGCTTGCCAGGTCCAAACACCACTGGGAACCACATTAAAGGGATCCGGGATCCTTTGCTGCTGAATCAAAGTCAGCTTGATGCGCTGACAGGTCACTCCGATGCATGCAAAGCCAATAGTGACCTGGCAAGCTTGAAGCCTGGAATTTGGGTGCTATGATCTGTTTGAAGACATTGATTGCTTGTTAGAGCAACAGCTGTGCTGATTCATGGATTTCATAGTGGCCCAACAGCGACAAATGCCTTGTGCAGAATGGTGAAGGTGTTCATGACCTTAGGAAGGCAGCGGCAACCGACCCCCAAACGTGACCCCAGTGACCCCAGTATCTTGACATTTGTGATCCGAAGAAACTGGAAGGGCCAGTGATCTTGCGATCTGCATCTGGTTCGATTGATCAATTGATTTCAGTTCATCTACTTCTTTCATCTTTTTTAATGCTGCCCTTATGCTCTATGCCCTTCTTATTGCCCATGTCGCGCTTCCATGGGCCATTCCTGTCGTAAGTAGCATGGCGACATGACTTGACCAGTGGAATCCCTGGGAACTTCAGCCACTGAGATTTTTCGATGTGCCAAGTAACAGGCCCGACGACCTCTTGCAGTATTCTTGCCACAGGAACCCAAGTACCTAAAGTCACCTGCAGGCAAGTGCTCTTTCCAGTTGCCATCTGACGATGAAGAGTAAAGAAGAAAGCCTCTGGCATAGCTCAAATTTGGATACTCGCTTAATACTAAACATGTGTACTAGACTCTGTGGTCCCATAGGGCTTAAATTGACTCAGCCCCAGGTCAGTTGTCCCCAGTTACGCAGTTGCACACACTCCCGAAACCCACCCCGAACCATGCCTGAAACATGGTCAACATTGCCCGTGGAAAGGTGCCAAAGTACTCAAAGAGCACCTGGTTTCACCCGGGCCGCAACGAAAAAACACTTACCCAAATTTTCACCTGTGCGGATGGGCATAAAAAAAGTATAAGACTATAAGAGATATCACTCATTTCAATTTCTTTCGGCATTCATAGAGCACAATAACAACCAAACCAATCGTGTGCCAAAAAGTTCTACGGAGCCATCACCGAGCCACCTTTTCCTCCTGCTTGGAGTATTTTGTTTGGCTGACCATGGTGACCAATACTTGGTTCAGCAGCAGGGCGAACAGTAGTTCCACCACCAGCATGATCACAGCCACCCAAAACAGCCCATTTGCCTTGCAGTTTGCGGACATTTGGGGCGTGAATGGCTAAAAGTGAACCGCAAAACCATCACACCTTGTCACCTGCCAATTCAACCGAAAATTGCAGTCTTGCTTGAGCAACGCAATATCTGATCCAGGAGTTTGGATTGAACAACAATAGAGCGATCCCTGGTTCAATGTTGTCATTACATGTGAATAGGGTCGTCGGTGTTGTTGCTTTCAGCCCCTCTGGATGTTCATTCAAAGTAATGTTATACGTATACACATATATATATCTATATATATATATATACTTATACTGAGTGCTTGCACCGCAAAAGCCTGCTTCAAGTCAGTGAAGTAATGTGAACATATTGAAAATATGTGAAATATCTGTTAGAACATCTACAAGGAACACTGAGACAGAATTCTAAACGTGAGGGCCACATGCATATCCATCTTCCGTCATGGATCATCAACACTTCTCCAGCAATTGCTGGTAAGTTGCACTCTCTTGCAGGGCCGTGGTCATCACAATCAGTGAATCAAAGCCCCGTACGACACGCACCAAACGCACTAGGCGCAACAGCCGCGCCAAACGGATCAGACGCAGCTGCGAACTGTTCACCGGAAAGGCGATCACCATATCTGCTAACCACATGGCCTCGGCCGTGGAAAAACGATGGCGGGTTTCACCGACGCCGGTGCAAAACGAATGTGACGAATGTGACCTGCTATGCTAAGATTGCTAAGATCTGTTTGCAACTGCCTTAAAAACACGACATTCTGGGATGCACCGTTTGTGAAGCAACAGGGTAGCAGCTATGGCCCCAATACCTGGGTGATCTAGGGCTGCCAAGGCTCGACCAGAAAAAAATCGAACCAGTTCCAAGGATCATTGAAGTATGTTTTGCGGAGGCCAATGATCTTCAACACCACTTCCAAGCAGAAAAGGATACCTGAAACAAATTGGAAAAGAACATGACAGGACTGAACTACCAAAGCAATGAAACCACAACTGTTGGATGTTAACATGGTGCCAGACATCTCCAAATACACAAGACTCGCAACAAACGTTCTCTTTCGCAGGTCTGCTATGGTCTGCTCACTGTCACCGTGATCTAATCAAGGAGGTTGCTGTACTGTATATAGTTATTAAGTCAAATAGTAAAGTATTGAGTTGCTGGACAATTGTGAGGGTGACTCAGGCGTTGAATTGGTAAATGAAGGTCAGCCCCTCAATCTTCTCTAAATATTGCAACTTTTCCTATTTGGTGGGTAGAGTACTGAATAGCGGCAACATTTGTCTCAGAGCATGTTTTTCTTTCGGGAGGACGTTCCTGGGGTTTGGTTGTGAATCCCAAAAGGCACCACTGCTTTACGATTGTTTATGTATCTTGCTTAGATGCACTTCCAAAGAATGCCAAGGTTTCTAGAGGGAGAAGAAGGAAAATAAAAAGGAATGGCAGGAATGAAGAAAGAAAGGGATGAAGGAAAGAAAGAACAAGAACAAGCAAAGAAAGCAAAAAGGAAAGGAAGGAAGGAAGGAAATAATGAAGAAAATAACAGGAAAATAACAAATGGAAGAAAGAAGGAGAAATGAACAACAGGAAGACAGGATCCAATGTCGTCCAATGTTGACAAAATGTACTCCTCGAAGATCCTCACTCATCACTCACTTGAAAGAAGATTCAAATTGATTTAATTCAGAAGATTCATAACATTTCATAACCTTTTCCTGCCAACTTTCTCTGACCCTTCAATTGTTTGAGGGCGGTGCTGCAAATCAGAAGGTGTAGAGTGTAGGGGATCCATCAGCAAACAAAGCCTTTCCACCATCCGAGAGACCAAAGAAGACCTCAGCAGCCTGTAGGACGTCTGGCATGTTGGGCCACACTTCATCAGCTGGTTGATCATAACCTGCATATTCCAAGCGGTGACCTCAATTCTCTTCAGGCTGCGGTGTTCAGAGACCATCGGAATCATGCCATGCAGAAGATCCATATCAATCAACTCAGTGATGTACGTATAGATATAACTATATGTATGTATATATATATGCAATATATGCATATATACACTCTGTGCAATATGCATAATTATATATATAATTATATATATATATACATAGTTGGATCATATTAGATTCATATAGGTTACATACCCCCAGATTCATATATATGGATTCTATGTTTTACCTTTTTCAATACATGTTATATATAATATATATGTAATTATATAATGACCCCACCTTACCGGCCAAGTGACCCCATGCCAAGCCAGCATATTGCGCCTCAACAGCCATTGCAATGGCCTGTAAAAAGATGAGAATTGCCTCGTGGCGAAAGTGTCATCGCGGTGAAGATTCACTGCTTCCATGGAGCTTCATTGGAAAACTGCCACTGGAACTTCCACATGTCTGGAATTGAAATGGGAAATTCAGATGGTTGAAAAGTCATCATATGTCATCATACTGGACCGATCTTTGGGATGTTTCATGGCCAGTTTTTGCGGCGGGGCAGCTGCTGGTTTCATGATTGCGTTGCTGCCCTTTCTCCTAAATCAGCCACAAACACGGTGTTAACAGTTAATAATTGTTACTGGTTGGTGGTTTGAACCCCTCTGACAAATATGAAAGTCAGTTGGGATGATGACATTCCCAATATATGGAAAAATAAAACATGTTCCAAACCACCAACCAGTGTTAACATGATTTCCAATGAAGTGGAAACATTTTATTTTTTTTCGGGAACGCTCCCAGAAATGTCTCCCCCGTCCATCTCGCCGGCAAGGCGGCAAGGCACATAGAAAATTTCGAAGGTGTAAGTCCTAATGATCCGATCCGGGTACCAGAAAGGCATTGTGCTGCGCTCGACTGTTAGAGACTGGCTCAAAGTGGCTGCACCTGAGGCCCGGTGACCACCGGACACCATGACTTCCACCGACTCACCGAATCAATCTCCAGTCCATGAAGAGAACGATGCAATGCTTGATGTTGATGGAATGGACAGCCCGATCAATCTGGTTGGGGTCATTCTGGGATGATTTCGATGATTTCCTTGCAATGACAAGCCCTTACTAGAGGCAAGCATACCACTACACATGATCTTCTAGCATGAAGGAATGTTGCAAAATAAATTTGCGACAGGTAGGGGCCCGCGAGTTTTTGTTAAGAAGGCTGCGGATAGACTATATATTTTAAATATTTACAGTATATGTAATAAATATATATATATATATTATATGGATAAATTATGTACAATACTATATATATATACATTTATGGATAAATTGTGCATATATATATATATATGTTATAGATGCAAATGTTTGGCGGCTTTGCCGCATAAGACAGCATAGTGAAATTGGGATCATAAACCCAGCTTTCAGGATTAACAATTTTGAATCACCACCCTGCAAAATACGTTCATCCACAACTGAAGTGTCAGCAATGAACCTGCCCACAGGATATGAAATGGCGCATTCAAATCTATGAATGCTGCAATTCTGGACGCAACATCCACGTCGATCAAATCCCAAGGCGCGTTTGTTCAATTTGGTCTTTGACTTTTTCGACTCCTCTCGCGGACTTTCAGCCTTGGAGGCAAATGAGTGCGACGGCACTGCAGGCACTGCAGGCCCCTGGCACGGAGGGAATACACACTCAATCTGAAAACATGTGGATTTTCCATAATTTTCCTGCAGTCGTGTCAGAAGCTGTGCGTACATGCCCAAGGTTGTTGCACAATCATATTCACCAAAATCATCGAAAATCTGTGTGGCTTGTTGGCTTGCCCATGGGTTATCTGTGTGGCTTGTTGGCTTGCCCATGGGTTTGAACGTAGGCAAAGGGCACAACCAGCCCATCTACCAAAAGTCTAATGCCTGGATAATTTTCCTAGCTATCTATCTATTTGCCATGTGACTTCCGAGATTTCCTTCAGCTCCACTGCAATTTCAGCAGGTGCAAAGGACACGGAGGCTGATGGTTCCTGGTCCTCAGCTGGACCTTTTAGGTCACCAACATGTCCGGCAATGTGTTTCGGGGAGCGTGCTGAAGGAAACACACACAAACAAACACAGTCACAAACTCAAAAACGAACTGAAACACTTGCAAGTCCAGCTATGTACAGCTCTATATCAGGCAGTGTGGTGGTGTTCCACTCGGCTATCTATCATTGTCCACAAAGGATGGTGCTTCAACACCACCTGAAAACGGCATTATACACCAAATCATGTTCTATTCATGCCCGGTAATCACAAGCAAACAAAGTGAATATCTTTCCAAAATGAGACTTGCATAGTTTTAGCATAATTCGCACACCCGCTTTCAAGGCCATCAAGAGGATGGTTTCCCAATATCAAACCATCTGAACATACTCAGACTCAAACTCTCCAAATCGGTTTCTCGGAACCTTTTCCCTATGCTCACATTGCCACATAAATTGCTTATTGTTTTTTCATGTTTTTTCTAGTCTAGCCCCAGTTTTGCAGCATGTTTCATCCATCAACTTCCCAAGCTTCTGCCAGGCCCTGCAGTGGTGCCGGAGCCGGATCCTCAGCTTTTGAAGGCACGTAGCCACCAGGGTCACCACGGCTGTCGCTGACCATGAAACGCAACTCGTCCAGGATCACAGCCTCCGCTGCGACGAAACTGTCATGGCCATTTGAACTATGGCTTATGGCTATGACCAGCTTGGGCAAGTCCGTGGAAAACGTGTTGCCATTTTAGTTTATTTTGTGTATTCGATATTTGATGATACTTGCTGGGTAACCCAAATTTCAAAAAATCAAACACACACCACACAAAATATGCAAGAGACATGATGGAATACCTGGCGAGGGTGCATCGCTGTACAATTCTGATGAGGTAGAAAACACGCACGGAAAAACAAGTACCACCGAAAAAGAATTGATTCGGAATATTCAGGGATGTTCTCATCATCAGCGGGAAAGGCAAACGCCAAAAGAAAGTGCAAATGCATGGATAATTTACCGTATATTATATATAATGTCAAACTTTAAGAGTCTGAGCTTGGTGCTTCGTTACAACTGTCTCCTCACCGTGTGATCCCTTGCACAAGTATACCATCGAAATCTTGCCAGCTGCAGCATTTTGGACAAGCAAATGGGATGTGGACGGCATGTATCATTCATAATCATGTCGAAAAGAGAATTCAATCCAGTTTATCTCCTGGCACTTTGTATCCTAGCAGGACCCATTGGTACAACATGGTACAACAAATGACCCGAGCCAGTCGTCTACACAGAACTTCTCCATTCCAATTCAGAAGTGACTTGGACTGAACCAAGCAAAATGCTCCTTTACATCCTATCCCATAGGATCCATGTATGCTATATATGGTAACATTTACCATCAATATACCCCCAATGTTAGCATATATACCATACATGGATCCTATGGGTATACTCAGCTCCGTCTTCGCATTTCGAGGCACATGTTGCTGTGCCAGGGACTGGCGTTCGTGCTTTAAGCGATCCTCCAACCACCGGAAGAGCTCCCCGCGACCGGGCTCCTCAGAAGCCCAGGTGGCTTCAGGCGCCAGTGGGACATCGCCGCAGTCAGCGGGATCCGCTGGATAAGCAACATCTGGAGCTGCTGAGTCCTTCATTCCGCTTGAGCCTTGAAACGTTGAGGAGGGCGATAGAAAGACCAGGGATTCATAGGTTTGGAGTGACCTAGGGCACGCCGGTGAAGCTTCACAAGATCAGCACTAGAAAACCATTCTATAGGTAGCGTGGCTGATTTTGACATATCATCCAGTCATTCTAGAGATATTTTGTATTATGTGATAGCATCATGACTCATATGACCGCTCTGTTGGATGCAAGGTCATTCGAGGCCAGCAAGTCTCCAATCTTCTCCACAGCTCCCAGAGATTTTTCGCCATGTTTCGCTGCGCCGGTGCCGCACGGGTGACCTAAAGTGGAAAACCAACTGCATGAGGAGCAACGTGTTCAACTCATTCAACTCTCAACGCATTTCACACACATGCAGGACCCAGATAGACCCAGTAGCACAATGAACGTTGGCTGGTTGGATCACAAATCGACACATGCGGGGTACGTTTGGCTTGCAGTTGGTGTCATTTCTTCGGCACCGATTAAACAATCATCAAAAAACAATGCCAGGATCAGGAGGAGAGTCTGCAAGAGTCTCCAATGCGAAACATGGAGGTACTGCTAGCGCTTGTACTGCATCGTTTTGATGCTTGTCAACTGCAAGATGTTTTCTATTTACAGAAAAACAATGTATATATATGTATGTATGTACAGTATATGTTGTATGCTATACAATGATATATAATAGCCAAGGAGGCCAAACCTCATCCTGACCTGAATTGGTTGCAGCTCCCGAGATCAACTTTGACCCGGCCCAAGATCAGCCAGGCCCTCTTAGACCTGTCCGCAGGCGCCAAGGGTAGAGATGCCATGTGAGGATGGCAGCAACTCAGCAGCGCTCCATTTTTTCTTGGTGCACCATGGCGCACCTAAGGCCATCCTAAGGATGTTCTACAGTGAAACGACTGAGGAACCACTACAAATGGATAGGTCTGTCAGATCTGTCAGCATTGTCAGCGCTCTCTTCCATGGCTGTGTTACCTGCAGACATCAAGGACTTGTCTTCGAGCTCGCTTGCTCTGGCACTTCTCTCCATCAATTTCTCAATCATCCCAACCAAATATTGCTGGTTTTGTTTCAACACAGCAATGTCTACCCCATGTGCGACCCCCTGGAGCTGCGAGACGCCGGAGACCAGTTCGTCCATGCTGATCGACTGGCTCTTGTCGGTATCCAGCAAGTCAAAGACCACGTCGGGGTCCCTGATGGGAAGTCCCTGCGCGCCAAACCAGTGCCGCGCATCATCCCGTTGCATGACGCGTTTCCACTCGGAGCGGGTGATGGGCGTACCATGGGCGTGATCGGTGTACTGAAAGAAATTGTTCATCTTTTGAGCATGCACCTTCCTTGGCACATTTGGCACCAACTGAGTTGTCTTCAAAGAATTGTCTTGAACATCGGGGTCAACATGTAGATAGATAGATAGATAGATAGATAGATGGATGGATGGATGGATGGATGGATGGATGGATGGATAGATAGATAGATAGATAGATAGATAGATAATATTAGATAGGTAGATAATATTAGATAGATAGATAATATTAGATAGATAGATCAAACTAGATAGATAGATAAATAAAATTAGATAGATAGATATAAATTAGATTAGTTAGTTAGTTAGTTAGATAGATAGATAAATATATATTATATATATATGCGCAAAGAATTCAGGCTTTTACTATATACTCGTAATCTCAGCCAGCACTGTCGACAAATAACATGAAAACGATATGAACATGTGACAGAAAATCATCGGTCAGGGCTCTCTCTCCTGGCCACATCCCTCATCATGATGATATCATCAGTCTGGGCCACCTTCATCGTCTCCTGCCTTGGTCTGCATCGGCATGCTGCGCACACATGGAGTGTTCAACCCTGCCATGACTCATGAACATGCTTCGAAGACTAATCTCTGTGAGAACTTTGCCCCAAAAAAGTCGAATACTTCATTTTTCCAATTGTCATCAAACACATTGAAAACCACATTTGACCTAGTGTTGAGCTTTTTTTAAAGGGCTTTTGTAGCATTTTTTCCATAGAAAGTGCAGGTCTGCCAAGTTGTCAGTGTGTAGTGCTTCACTTTTTAATGGATGGAGGCTGGTGGTTGATCTTGTCGATTTGGGGCCACTTGTCATTGCATGACTCCCTTCTATCAAACACAATGGCCAACACGAGACAATCTATCTATCTATCCACAAATAAAAGAGATTATATATATATACAACTGTAATTACTAGACTATACTGTACTTATGCAATAGGGTTGGATGTGTGCAATGGGAATGTCTTGCTTTTCTCTGACCGATGTCTCCAAAAGCTGTCGACAACCTCATCATCCGGGAAAAAGTGCCACTTTTTTATTTGCGAGCTAGGTGCATAAAAACTCCATTAATGACCCCTACGGCTGCAAAGCCGAACACACCCTTGAAAAGGATGGTCAGCAGGTTGAAGGCAGGACTTAGAAGTTCCTGCGCATCACGAGCTACTGGCACCCAGGTGCCAAGAGTCATCTGGAACATCGTGAGCATACCTGGAAGTGGACAAGGACCAGCTGATGGTGCTGCAATAGTACCACAATAGTACCACAGGTGACAGGAGTTGCACGGAAGCTGATGACAGCTGATAGATGTTGCTAGTAAAGCAATTGTAAATTAAGCATAAATGGGTTGTATAAACTATCAAAACATGGGCGGTCGATTCTTGTTTTACATGTTTTACTGGCATTATCGCATTTTGATTTCAACAATGATACCATGATTACCATGAGAGTGGAATCCGCTGGAACATGCTGAAATCCTGTGTGCACTGAGGCTATGTGCTACAGTCTAATCTGCCATCTCCGAGTTGACAACCACACGTTTAAGGAGCACCTGAGGGACATGAAAATACCCCAAATATATCAAAATATACAGTACTGACTCTTTGGGATAAGGTGGGAAACAAAAAGGAACAAAAAACAGGCTCTGAAGCAAAGAACTAGGCTTCTTCGCGGGAATGTGCCAAAATACTCAAAGAACTTGATTTCCACCTCGATGTCTTGGTCAAAGCCCTCATCTGCTTGCAAAAAGGTAATGGCCAACTGGCCTAACCTTGGCAGTTGGAAGTGTCCCATGCCCCGACATCAGAGCCTAAGGCTTTAAGGACTCACCACATTTTTTCAGGTTGTCTGCAGGTCAGCAACAGCAATGCCAACATCACCTCCGCCACCATCAGGATGACAGATGCCCAGAAGAGAGCACCCATGCTGTGTTTCAGCGCAGTTGTCATGATTATCCTCAGCTTGGCGATACTGGATACTGGATACTGGACTGGTGCTGAGAGGAAAAACTTGAGTGCATTCAGTGTTTATCCCGCAAGGAAGGCTTTCTATACATTGCAATGTAGTGCCTTGAAACCTACAGCAAATATCAACATACAACATTTGGACTCAGCCGATTGTCAAAGTGTGAGAATAGCCATGTCAATCAAGGCTTGAGCTGCCCCAAAGCCTCAACAGATTTCAGGAATACTGCCCGATAACCGACTCGACCAATATAAAGCAGAACTTGTGACTCCTGGTAAGCAAGCCCCAAAGCCAAAATTCCACAAACAATATCTTCTGTGGAACATTATCATAAAATATCATAAAGCATTTAAAACATCAAACAATATCTTCTGTGTAAAAAAGAACTGTCTCCGTGGCCATCTCAAAGAGTCCAACAGAAGCAAAAAAAATAGAACCACATGACGTCTCAATACAATAAATCAATACATCAATCTACTATACCACACACATACACAAGAGACACACATATACATATATATATATATTATTATGTCATATCATATATATATATTGAACATTATGTATATAATATAAATATATTTGTTATAATTATTAATATGTTATGTATATTGATGTATGTTATAATTAGAATCTTTTCAGATTTTTCAGATATATCATGAATATCTCAAATAATCCCGCCAGATGCCCTTCCGCAAGGACTCCGTTCGGACTCCAAGGCTCAAGGCGTCAAAGTTTTTCACCGTTCGCAGCGGCTTTACCAAGCGCAATAGACGCACCAAACGCAGCAGTCGCAAGGAGGGGGTCGAGCTCAAGGGGATCAGCACCGCAAACATCTCGATACACCAAAGAGACACCAGGCTCAAATCAAACCAGTTCCAAAAGCCACGGAAAAAACCTGGAAAAAATCAGGAGTTGGTGAAGAATTCGTGACATGGCTTAAAAACAACTATTCCCATAGGATCCATGGTGCTGCTATATATGGTAACATGGATCCCATCAATATACCCCCTTTATGTTAGCATATATATACCATACATGGATCCTATGGGATTTAAACATAAGATTCTTTGAATGTTTTTTTGAAACCGAGAGTGCGCCAAAGCTTCCAGGGCGCTGCTAGGCAAGTTGGAGCCAAGAGACTCCTTCCAATGCCCCAAAGTTTCAGGACAACTTCCAGTGCAAACAAACATCCAAAAACCAATTCCAGAACTTCAAGCACAATGGGCACAGCTGGCCAAATTTGGTCAACTCTGTCAGTGTAGCCATCCTTGGGAATGGGATCCACTCAGTGGAATAAACCAAAAACTGGATGCGAAAATCCTGAAACGTTCGCCCAAAAACGGCATCAGCTGCCCAAGATATCCTGCCCAAGGCTCATAATTCAAACGGTAGCCCCAGTCTAGACCTTGCAGTTGGACCTCAACCCCCATGCCTCAGACCAGAGTTGAGAGAGAATGAGATCTGCATCTGAGGGCAAATTGGTGAGGATTGACATAGAAGTAATCATATATATATATAATAATAGATATGATTAACTTCTAAACATATACGCATGTGTATATATATATATATATAATATGTGTGTGATTTAATATTAATACATAATAACATATAATGTGTCTAATCCGAAACCACGTTGCAAAAAGTTCACCCTCTTAACTTCACATCCACGCAGCCAAGAAGCTAAAGGCCTGCAACAAGATAAGCACAGCAAAGAACACTTCAAAGGTCATCGTGTGTACCAAGTGCTGTGGATGCCATTGATGCCATGGTTTCTCCGGACCTGAATGCAAACATGGATGGCCACCTCTTAGGGCCAGCGGCCTGAAATTTTGTTGCTGTTTCTGTTGTTGGGGAAACTCTGGGGAAACTGTCGATTTTTAAAATCACCAATGCATCACCCAGCGGCTTGGCTCCAGATATTCCATCGATAAGGATTCTCTCAGGGAGGTTGGACCCTTTCCCCCGGCGGTCCTCCGTTTGGAGACCTCAAAGGAGGGCACTCGCAGCTGTAGGAGCTGTTGGCTCATGTCGGCTGAAAAGGGTGAACAGCCATGAAAAAGCCATCAAAGTCACTCCATTTCTCGTGCAACGATGTGACTATGCTAGATCTTCAAACTTATGATTACGTGTTTTTGAGGGTGCAGGATGGCAGATGCAAACACCTACCTATCCACATACAGTAAATTTAACATGGAACCCCAATTCAATTGAGTCTAGAAGATTGTCTTCCGATTGGATATTTCTCATTTCGGTTGGTGTTATATTTCCTCCATATTCTCCCAGTAGAATGGTCGGCTTTATTCCAAGTGGGCATGTGTTTGTCTCCCAAAATTCGAAAAGACGCAAAACCTTGCAAAACGTGTTGACGGTAGATAATAGCAAAAGAAACCACATGTGCCTATCATATTCTGTCCCTTGTAACCCATAGCATCATAAGTTATAAGCGATGTTTTTTCAAGTTCTGACAGTGCCTCTGGGGGAGCATCCAAGGAGGTCGTAGATGATTCTGCAAGGAGGTTCAAGGTCCTCGCAAGGCCCCAATGCAGCTTTTCGGGGGATTGAATCGTCAAGCCGATTGGATCTAAGCATTTCCCCCTAATAATAGTATATATATATATATATCTAATAATAATAATTAGATACCACTGGTTTATTGGATCTAATGGGCTGGCATATGATGGTTATTTATCCATCAAAAACTGGTTGTTGGATGGGGCTAGGGCACCATCGTTCGGGGGATGATCAGCATAGACCTCGGCTCATCATCCAAACCCTGCGCTGAATTCCCTGCCTTTTGGGCAACATGCTTTGCATCTGCGCGAGGACCAGCACGTGCTGCCGTTCCAAGATCTCCCGTTCCTCTCTCAAGCGTTCCTCCAGCCAGTGCAACAACTCAGGGCCGTCCATGGCCCGGAATCTGATGGAAAACTGATGGAAGCCGATGTGCAACCCAGCCACCCAAAAAAAAAAACAACCAACAGTTTTAGTTATGTTAGATTCTGAATGATCTTGGGATGATTTTGGGAGCTCAATTCGCTGGATTTTCTGGTGTTGTTTTGCTGTAGAACCCGGGCCTGATATGGCCTGATTCAGTGCCTATTTTGAGCTTTTGCGATTGGCTTTTATGCCATTTTACGCATACGCAACTACTGCAAGAACCCAAGCGTATTTCAGCCTGGGCCGTAGAATCAATCAATGCTAAATGATCCACAAGAAGGCAAAGGGAATCCTGTTCTTGTCGTGCTTTGCTTATTTTTGCCCCATTCGAAGTACAGGACCGGGGATGGGTCGAGTGCATGCAGTGATGTAGAAGTGCATGCCAAATATCATATGCACATAGCTTGTGTGACTCCAGGGCACAACATCTTGACAAGTCCATGCGGATGAATTATGATGAATTGGCTCGATTTAAAAATCTAGGCTGCAGGGATGAAGGTGCATGGCATCGAAACTGCTTTAAAGGCCACGAGCGCTTGGAAAATCATGGAATCCTTAGCGTCAAGGCCGGAACCACTACCACTTCTGCTGTGGCTGATGTTACCATGTTCAGTCACCAACCTAAAATCAGGTCATATCCGGTGGTTCCCATTACTAGGCACGGCACGGCCAACCCTCAACCGCTGGATCACTTTTGGCTTTGGATCAACGCCTTGGGTGGTTGAAAGGTGAAACATGTTCATCGTAGCGTTCGCAGCCACTCCACCGGGCGAATAGGCAATGACCTTTCACAAAGCCTGCGCTAGGATTAGGATGCTCTATTCTCTTGGAGCTTTTAATGTGCTTATGATTGCTTATTCATTCATCTTTTGATAAGCATTATTCTTTGTGCATTACGGATACTACATACTCTCAGATATACACACACACACATATATATATATATATATACGCATGTGTATATGATATGGCATAGCTGAGTGGGGTGCCAATTTAAAGCTGGCGGGGTGGCATTGTTTGCGGGCTTAATTGCTGGAGTTTGCTGCTCTTCGGGTCAGCCACCAAGGCCCAAAGGTATGGGTAACACTTGGGACCTCCCACAACAACATAATATCACGATAATGTTTTGACCCCCAAATCCAGCATCACATTTTTGAAGATGTTTGAAGTTTCAATGGGTCAAAGGCCAAAGGCATCTGATGTAAATTTATGAGTATTGCAGTATCAAACAAGCCATCTAGGTCCATCCAATGGATTTGTTTTGATGCTTGGGGTCCCTAATGAGTTGACCCATACCCACGAAAAGAACTCGCAGGTTTTAAACCATCGAGTTCGCTCTGCTTTCAAACAAATCTCCGGCTCGCAATACTTCGTCAGGAGCATGACCACACAAACAATCAAAGAACCTCAGCCTGTTCTGGCTCACTACAGCAGTACTACGGCAAAGTGAAAAAGCACGTTGAGTTCAACAGCACAACCAGCAAGAATCAATTGACATTCAGTCCCATATTAATGGGATGTTTCCCAAATGGATAAAACAATGGTATGTGAACATGCTGATCAACATGGCGCTGCGGAAGGCCGCTTCACTTGCAACGAAGTCACATGTCACAAAGCTCAATATCCGTGGGCTCCATGCTGCCACTAAAGTGCCCAGGAATCTGCTTCTTCAGACCTAAGCAGGACACAGAGCGTGACCATCGTGACCTCAAGAGGCCTAGTTGCAACACCACTTGGGCAGCTTGGGAGCCTGCAAGGGATCTGCAAAGTAGCGAACCACGGGAAGGAAAACTGGACACAACATGACACATTGAAATTTCAAGGGCTAATAGGCTAATACCCACTAATTATATTCACAACCTGTCCGCAAAAACATTCACTCCAGTCACCCGCTTCCATCTCAAAGGCTGGAGAGTGCCATCACAGAATCCCACGTCACCGGCGCCAAGGGGCTGAATGGGCCCGCGCCGTTCCTGCCGTTCTTTGCTGGGAGACCGGGACCTCACAGGTGCCAAGGACCTCTCGATGCCATCCAAGCGCTTCATCACGGACGCCATAACTCCATGCAGCCGCCCATGGTTCTCGGTCAAAACCTCAGCGCCAAACTGTTGATGCTGGTGAATGCAAGGCTTGAAACCAGGGAATGATTGGTAGAGAGGTCAGAATAGAATAAAACGGAGAGGATTAAAGAGGCCAAACAATAAAACTATTGATAACTGATAAATGACAGGTGGTCAAAAACATCATATGCTACCCGTCCAGTTCTCTTATGCGAAGCTTCCGCAGTGATTCTGGGGCTTTGGTTTTGGTTTCTGTGATGATAGCTACCGGTATATTTTTTAGTGGTTGTTGTTTGGGCAAAGCTTCCCCCACGACAAAAAAAATCGGGGATTCCACAAAGAAACTGCCCAGGCAATCCACTGAATATCACCGTTAGTGCGGTTGCGCTCCGTTGTTCTTTGCATGTTTTTGATTTACCAACACACCCGCTAAGTCACCACAGGCCCGGTTTGAACTGATTGTTTTTCATCCTTCACAGTGACAAATGCCTCCAGCCATTCCGAGCAACTGCCAAGTCCAAACTTTTGGCAGGGCCCTGCAGCGCGGCTACGCCTGCAATGAGTTCATCCATACCTGGCGAGTTTCAGGTGCAAGCCATGGTTGATTTACTCCGTCACCTGAATTGACATGGAAAAGTGAAAAATGAAATCTCCGTCGCGAATGCGATATTCCGATATTCCAACCGGACAGTGGACAATGTATGAACATTGTTGGGATTTGTTGGATTTTATCTTCCAGTTCAGGGATGGGTAACCCAGCTGAAACAATTCGCAACATGGGTGTTGACATGCTCCCTTGAGACATCATCCAACCATGGTTGGATTCCTTTTCCTTGCTTTATGCCCCTTCCATTCCTACTTTAAATTGAGGATATAACATTCGAACATTTGAAACGAACATGTCCAAATTCCCAAAGTTTTTACGTTTCCCAACCCTTACCCTCGACATTATACTCAATATTTATATACACGGGTGAAAAACGCATCCCAGTTACAACATGTGTAATTATATGTAATTATTATATACATACATATATATGTCAATACACATTCCAATGGGTGGGTGGTTTCAGCCCTTAAAACATTAGTATAATTTGGATCATCATCCCAAATTCGGTGGACAAACAAAAACTATTATATTTGAGAACGACCGGTCAGATGGGCGTGTCTATGGTGTGTCTAGCATGCTGGACACCTCCAAAATTTGGATAGTAGTTCAAAAGGAATAGCAAGATTATAACCGCTGGATTCGTTCACCTCTCCCAGGCCCCCATATGCAGCAGTTTGCTGATCCCATTGCTCCGATCTTCGTCGAGGAGTCGAAACACAGCTTCCGCATTCTTGACCTTTAAGCCCTGCGCTGAGAACCTGGGGCAGAATGAAGAAAAAAACTGATATATCACACGCAAACATCATATATATATATATATATTTATACATGGCCAATAACGTAAACATGATTAAACCGTTAATATGTTTCACCCTATTCACCACTACCCCATGATCGTTCACAACCCATATCTGACAGGTATACATACACTGATATGTGCAAATATACATGATATTGAAAATAAATAAATAAATAAATAAATATATATATATATGGCCCAACATGTAAAAATGATTAAAACATTAATATGTTTTCACACTACCCGCCACTACTCCATAATCGTTCAAAACCCATATCTGACACGTATACATACACTGATATGTGTATTAAATTGTATTAATGTAAACATGATTAAACCATTAATATGTTTTCATACTACTCACCACTACTTCATAATCGTTCACACCCCATATCTGACACGTATACATTCACTGATATGTGCAAATATACATCTATAATATCAAATATATACTTGGCCCAAAATGTAAACAGGATAAAGCCATCAATATGTTTTCACACTACTCAGCACTACTCCATAATCGTTGACAACCCATATCTGACAGGTATACATACACTGATTTGTGCAAATATACATCTATAATATTGTATATATATATATAAATATATGGCCCATAATGTAAACATGATTAAACCACTAATGTGTTTTCACACTGCTCCATAATCGTTCACAACCCATATCTGACACGTATACATACAGTGATATGGTATATTTACATCTATAATTATATATATGTATTATATATATACACACGTAAAGGTCTAAGTAACGCAAAGAAAAATACACGTCATACAAGTATAATGTATGCATTTCATGGACAAATCGGGTGCACTAAGCAGTGACTTGCTGGTAAACAATGGCCAAGAAACCAATGCTGTGCATGATGGCCGCTCACTACTCGCTCCCATTCTTCCCGGGTAATGACCTTGGACACTGAAGATCCATCATCCTTCCAAAGCTGATGATCCTGCTGTTTTGGGGCACTGCAAAAAAAATGAAAACGTACCATTGGCCATTGGTTTGTTTATCCATGTGGCATGGTCTTTGGAATGGTCAGCATAACGGAAGAAGGCTTTCATCTTCCGTGCGTGAGTTCGTTCCTTGTGCGCCACCTCTCTCATCATGATGATGTCATCATTCTGTGCCACCTGCAGTGGTTGGCCGCAAGGCAATCATTGAGTAGGTTAAATACACCTACCTACCACTTAAATGAAAATATAAACCTACTTGTAACGAACACGAACCCATCAGTTCGGGCTGAGTATACCTGCAATCTATAAACGTGACAGCATGGCAAGTGTTACATTCGCTGATTCGAACCCTGGGGCACGAAAAAAAAACACGCATCAAACATTCGTAGCATCAGTATGACGCAGAGCGAACACCGCAAAGGCCTGAAAATTGATAATGGCCTTGAATGTTTGGCTATGGGTCAAAAGCCTTTTGCACTGTGGTAAACATCAAAATAATTGGCAAATTGTTGTTTATTCCGCAAAATTGGTGTATATATATATACATATATACATATATATATAATATCTATATATATAATATCTATATATATAATATCTATATATAAATAATTATAAAAATATATATATATATATATATGGCATACATAATGTACTTTAACCCATCCCAATTTGCACCTGCTATTGTTCCTTCCATGGCTCGTCTGTATTCTGATTGTTTTAAAAGCAAACAATAATAACAACTTCGAACACTGCGACAGCATCACTTCTTACGTTGTATATCTGCTCAGACACCACCACCCCACAGATGCAATGAACAGTTTTGGTGGGTATATTTCCATGAATTGACATCCAACAAGTTTGTTTCACGCTCAAAATTGCAATAAGAACCTTGCGTGGATGACCACTTCAGCAGTGAGTCCTTTGACCGAAGGAAGTTTAGAAGTCAAACTTCCGACAATATGGACAGATGGAAAAGCAGAGGTGGCAAGAGCCAGAGAAGAGAAAAGCAGAAGAGAGAAGATCAAAGAAGAGAAAGTCAGAAGAACGAAGATCCAGGTGCGCCAAAAGGTAGGAAAGTACACTATGTTTTTCCAATGATTTGTGGCTCCGGAGGGTCGAAAAGTAGGCTCGCTAAAGAGGCGGGTGCGGAGCCAGCTGGCCAGATGAGAGATGAAAAGTTGCACGCAGTTGTGGCGCGAAGCACATTTCCAAGTCAAGATGTACAAAGCACACCATGCTCGGACCACTTTTGGAAGTTGAGATGTCGAAAAAGTGCACGCTGTTGTGGCGCGAAGCACATTCCCAAGTCAAAATGTACAAAGCACACCAGGGTCAGAGCAATTTTGGAAGTTGTGATGTCGAACAAGTGCACGCCGTTGTGGCGCGAAACGCATTTCCATGTCAAAATGTGCAAAACACAGCAGGGTCGGAGCATTTTTGGAAGTTGTGATGTCGAAAAAGTCCAAGCCGTTGTGGCGCGAAGCACATTTCCAAGGCAACATTTTAAAAACACCACATTCTCGGACCACTTTTGAAAGTTCAAATGTCGTTTCGCGTGGCCGGCGCAAGGGATTCGGCACCTTGCCAAAAGCGCGCAAAACGTGAAGGTTTCTAGCATGTCCAAAAACGATCGCAGGCGTGGGACATTTGAAGAGGACCTGGAAAGATGCATTTTCCGTTGCGGGCGCACTACAAGAGACATGTTCATCAGAGATGTTAGGAGGTCAGGGCGCTGACTTCCTGAGGAGGTTGCATTTTGGAGCATCAAATCGTCAGGTTTGCTAAGATGATTTTGCGTGACAGGTGCAGCACTTCGTGTGACCTGGCATCACTTTTGCGCGGCAGGCGCAGCACTGTACACAAATGGAATAGAAAAAATTCAAAACGCATTGGTGCGAGGCCGTCAGCTCTGCACTCAACTTTGCATTTTTGAAGGAGGTCTCGCAGAATTGCTTCGTTTTTCATGTTGCCAACTTCGAAAATGAGGAAATCTCGCAGAATAGCCTCGTTTTTGACGTTGTTGTCAAATTCAAAAACTGAGGAAGTCTCGCAGAATTGCTCCGTTTTTGATGTTGCCAAGTTAAAAAGATTTTAAAAGCTGAGGAAGTCTAGTACCTACTACCTACTACCTACTACGGCCTACTACCACCTACTACCTACTACCACCTACCACCTACTACCTTCTACCTTCTACCTACTACAACAACTACAACAACTACAACAACAACAACAACAACTACAACAAATACAACAACTACAACAACTACAACAACTACAACAACTACAGCAACAGCAACAACACAAACAACAACAACAACAACAACAACAACAACAACAACAACAACAACAACAACAACAACAACAACAACAACAACAACAACAACAACAACAACAACAACAACAACAACAACAACAACAACAACAACAACAACAACACACAACAACACACAACAACACACAACAACACACAACAACAAACAACAACACACAACAACACACAACAACACACAACAACACACAACAACACACAACAACACACAACAACACACAACAACAACAACAACAACAACAACAACAACAACAACAACAACAACAACAACAACAACAACAACAACAACAACAACAACAACAACAACAACAACAACAACAACAACAACAACAACAACAACTCCTACTCCCTACTCCCTACTCCCTCCTACCTGCTACCTGCTACCTGCTACCTGCTACCTGCTACCTGCTACCTGCTACCTGCTACCTGCTACCTGCTACCTGCCACCTACCACCTACCACCTACCACCTACCACCTACCACCTACAACCTACAACCTACAACCACCTACCACCTACAACCTGGTACCTGCTACCTGCTACCTGCTTCCTGCTACCTGCTACCTACTATACCTACTACCTACCATTACTACCTACCATTACTACCTACCATTACTACCTACCATTACTACCACTACTACTACCACTACTACAACCACTACTACTACCACTATTACTGCCACAGCTACAACTACAAGTACAACTACACTACATTACACTACACTACGCTATACCGCACTACAGTACACAACACTGCAGTACACTGCACTGCACTAATCACACCACACCACAATTACAACTGCAACTACAGCTCCACTACACTACAACTACAACTGAACCACGCAACACTACATCGAGCAATTGTGGTGAGGTGACCTTTGCAACCATTGCAACCACTCCAAGAAACACAGTTCCAACCACCTTTCGGTCCATCAGTGGATTCGCTCTGCCATCTGCGATTCACAACAACCAGCGTGTCCTATTATAATAGGTTTCCTATTTTTGAAACTTCCGCCACCGCCTTGCGCGGTACTACTGGTATTATGATGTAAATACGTGGGGTTCAAGGTGGTGGGAAGCACGGTAAAGTGTTGATTGCCAAGCGTGTTGACTTGGTAGTAAGGAAAAATCACTCGAGTTGACAATATGTTTGTCGACCGGCATCAACATCAGTCTGATGAAAAAAACTGTTGGTCTGAGATATCCAGCAAACACATGAAATGCGTCAATTCTTCCACTTTCCTTCATGTGGGGCTGAGCTTGAACATTAGTTTATTGAATTTTATTGACCTATTCTCGGCCCTTCGCCGACATTTTCTCAGGCCTTCAAGGTTTCCTGCATAAAAACTCCATTGATGACTCCGATGCATGCAAAGCCAATAATGACCTCAGCAGTGAGTTCCAAAGCTTCCACAAACACGCCCTGCTCTCAATTACCCCATGGATACCTCTGGTGGTGTGTTTTGTGTGGATAGTGGCTTCGGGGTTCTGGAAAAAATGAATAATCTGATTTGGGCGTTCTGGACACATGTTGCGATGTTGTCCGCAACCTTAACGTTCGCCCAGACTCATCATTGTGACATAACAGAGACAATTCTGTGTTGCTGGGAAGTAGCGAATGCAAGCAAGGTCAAGGGGGAAAAATTAGGCCACGGCGGCATGTGAAAGATACCTTGAATACAGTTATCTTCATGAGGAAACAATATCACCTGATCATCATGAGGGATCAAAATCCGCCACCCCTATGACCAATATTCTGAAAGGGCTAACAACACGCCACCCTCTATGGCCAATATGTTGAACCGGGTAATTACATCAACATTATCTTCATGAGGGAACAAACTCCGCCACCCCCTATGACCAATATGCTGAACGGGCTAATAACATCAACTTTATCTTCATGAGGGATCAAAATTAGCAACCCCTCTGAACAATACGTTGATTGCGGGACATCAACTCCTGGCAAACGTCCAGGTTGCAGCGAACATGTTTTTACCACTCGGATTTAAGAAATGTGGTTCAAGGGGCCAACATACAGTCAGTCAGCTCTGTCCCGAGCTCTAAATCAAGCTCTAAATTGCAAGCACCTCGGTCTGTAATTTGAACTTTAAAATGATGAGGTTGTCATCGCCTTGAGGTTTCCTGAGTAACCATCCTGACAGTACTGGGTTGCATCTGGACCCAACGAAGTGGCAGGTTCGAAAACCCTTATTGCCTAAACAGCCTGAATGAATTTGCAAATGATCACACACACAGATTGAAATGCAGGTACGTGCAGTTGATCAAACTTCATATCCTCTCCGAACATCAGTAGCTTCGTTGGCCATGGACTGATGGAGCCGTGGTCCCCTGCTTGGATAATTTCATGATCTTTTCCAAAACGTATGATAGCTTGCGGTTTACACACACACACGCGCGCACATTTTTCATCATACACACATTTCTTTTCAATCCACTCTTTAGAAAACGACGTGTTAAAGCACCACGCCATTATTTGTTGGCGGCCAGCCCAACACAGCTTTCGGTTAGATACTGCTGCAACCGCTCAAACACCTCCAGAACCTCTTTCAAAAAAAACTTACAGCATGGAATATGTAAACTGTTCATGTGTGTCTTATCTCTTGTCCGGGGGCCCGCGAGTCATGGAAAATCGCTACACTTTTGTTGATTACATTACTGGAACATTCATGCATCCGCAAGCCGTCGCAAGCACAACCAGTCATCAACTCTTATACAGGTTGTTCAGCTCCTGCCAATCAATTGCTGATAGGCAAAATCTTACATATATGCTGAATCACATGCAGAAACTCTCTCAATTCTGATGAAATTCATATTAGCGAGGGTTACCTGATAGATAGATATATAGAATTTATATAGATCATTTCATCATCCAAACAGAGATACTGTAAACACCTTGACAAATGTGAATCAGGTGTCCTGGCAACTGCTCTCATCAATAGTGAAGGATAATATAAGCAAGATTTACAGATTGAATTTCAGATTAACAAGTAATAATCAATAATCTTAAGATCTCTTGAAAAAAATGCACAGTAATCTTGAGGAAAAGAGAGGATCTTCTTCAACTTAGGGACTTTGTGCAAAATTGTAAAGATATTGAAGTAGGGCGAGACAGTCTCCTGCAAAATGCGCGCGACTGGAACCCACGTCCCAAGGGTCAGCTGGAACATGGTTAGCATCGCACGGAGGAAGGTGCCAAAATATTCCTGGGCTGACAGGGAATCAACCATTCAAAATTGAATGTCAAATGTGTCCATCCATAATCGAACTGTGATCTCTCTCTCTCCCCCCTTTCTCTTGGTGGCAATTGCGACCAAACCTGGACTAGGAGGATTTAATCAACCTTGCATTGAAGCTGCAAATAAAAAACATACAACGGAATCGGTTTTTCTGCCCAAATCTGTACAATACAATCTGCTTGCAAGGAAGACTCGAAGAGAAGAGTCTGATCCGCATCAGAATATTCATGCCCTGCTCCGAAAACCAGCGCGACAAGGACTTGATTCAGAAGAAGCGCAAACATCATCTCCACCACCAGCATGATCATCGCAACCCAAAACAGTGCATTTACACTATCCTTCAGGGCGGTTCCGGGTTCCCAAACCGCCTTTTGGCAAGCGTAGACTCAAACCATCAAACCAACAAACCCAAAAGTAAGCAGGAATGCAATGCTTGACAAGAAAATCTAGGACAGCACATGCACAAAACATATTTGTCTTCTACCAACCTGCTGTATACAACTATACCTTGTAATATCATGTAATATCCATCATCCCCATGTCTTTCCATCTTCCTCCATAGCATAATATTATACATAACACAGTAAAATGTATATATACATATCATCACATATCATTCTGCCCTCATCATCTTTAACTACCAACTACGAGTACGTCTGGTGGATTCCATGATTGGATGTTTAAGGGCTGTCCTTAAGGGCTGTGGTCATTCTACTGGGACGATCGCCAAAACCGTGTCGAAAATCCACAACAAAACCTGCAACACATATCTGTTGCGCATGGCTCCTGACACCCAAAAGGTGATATTGAATATGGCTTGATATGGCTTGTGAAGCCATAATGTTGCTGCTGTGAGCAGTGACAAACACATAATAATGTCTAATAAATTAAAAGCGTTTTGTTTGAGATCACATTTGAAGGATTTTGGAGGGGCCCCCCTTTGGATTTCCATGACTGTTGTAACAGAAAATGTCCAATAACTGTGGGATTGCCTCAGATCATGGGTAGATTGGCATTCTTGTGTGAGACAGGCTGAAAAAGCAACATGTGTTCCCTATTTAAAAAATAAAAAGCGAAAAGGTGCTGATGCAAAGTGAGGAAAACTAGCAAAAGATCGAACCAGTTCCACAACCGGCAGAAGAACTCCCCGCGAAATGCGCAAAATTTGACCTGCAAACGGAAGCACGGAGAGTGAAAACCATAATGGAAACTAAAGCCTGCCGGGCCTGTCCGCACAAACAGAGCTACTTTGGGTCAAAATAGTTCAAAAATAGAAAGTTGAACATGCATCATTTACATTCATTTACATTGTTTGTGCCGTAAGGTCAAATGAACGAAGTGGGCTCAGTAGGATGTAGTTCCATTTAGATTAATCTTCACACTAGAATAATATATACATGCATGCGATTGCATGCGTAGATTCATGTGTGTGTGTCTTATGCCTTATGTTTTATGCCCTATGTCTTGTGTTTTACGGCGTATGTTTTGTGCCTTATGTCTGGTGTCTTCTGCCTTGTGTCTTGTGCCTTCTGTCTTGTGTCTTGTGTCTTATGTCTTGTGTCCTGTGTCTCACTCATGTCTGGTGTTTTTTGTCTTCAGGTATGGTGTGGTATTGTATTGATTGTATTATATTGTAGTGTATTGTCTTGTATTGTAGCGTATCGTATATTGATGTATATTGTATTGATCTGTATTGTATTGTACTGTATTGATTTGTATTGTACTGTATTGTACTGTATTGTATTGTGTTGGATGTGTGTGTGTTGTACGGTATCGTACCGTATTGTATGGTATTGTACTATATTGTGCTCCGTTGTACTGTATTGTAATGTATTGCAACCTCTTGTTTTGCCTTGTATGCATTGTCATCACATCATACCCCGGAAATGAGAAAAAAACTGTGGATACCAAGCGGCCATGCACTCAATGGTGAAAAGAGATCCAAAGAGCATTTCGGTGGTCAATAAGAAGGTTGGCACACTAGGCCAGACATGTTCAGCGGGGGCATCGTAGCCATTGTATTCCAGCTTATTCCTCGGTCCGCAACAATCGAGCACATGGGCACATGGGTCACCTGTGAGGTTGCGGGTCAAATTGTAGGACCATAACACCCACATACACATACTGAAAAAATGTGAAAAGGGCAGCGCAACTACTCAGTTGCTGTGCTGCCACACTGGTAGTTCAACCAGCCAAGTTTCCCCCAGTCAAGGCCACTGTATTGAGTCTCGATCGCCAAACATAGTGCTTGCAGCAAGATCAGAAGGGAAAAGAACACCTGAACTGGGAGAGGAGGCAATCAACATAACAGGAAAAATAGGCCTTTTGGCTGCACAAGTACGGGATTCGCAGGATATGACGGGATTCTAATAAGTATCAATGAGAAGTCATAAGATGGTCCGAACATGTCCGAACAAATATCTGGTCTACATTTCTGCGTTCTGGAAGCTCCGGGCCAGGCCGAAATCCCTGTCATCTCCTGTCCGGCCTCGAAAATGGAAGATCGCACAACTCGAGATGGATGCCATCTTGGAAGGTGCCGTTGCACTTTATTCGACGACTGCGACCTGGGGCCAGGATTCCCGCTCCATTGCACTGTGAGGTCACATGTATATATGTATGTATGTATGTATGTATGTGTATGTATGTGTATGTATATGTATATGTATATGTATATGTATATGTATATGTGTATGTATATGTATGTATGTATGTATGTATATACATATATGCATATATATATACACATATAAATATGCATATACATATTTGTATGTGTATATATAATATACATATGTATATGTGTGTATTTATGATCTCTCTCTTTTCATCGCTGTCTGGTCACCCTGCCCTAGCTGTGCTAGGAAGCGAGAAACACGTACAATATAATCAATATACCTTGATCCTCCCTTGACATTTTTTTTCTAGGTGTTCATGATTCCAGATCGTTTCAAAAAAAACATGTCGTTCACAGCGTGCTGCTGGAAATCATGGCAAATTAAAGAAAATCATGGCGAGTTTTAGGGGTGCATATATCTTCAAGTTTCTTGGGTGCCCAATATTCTCCCTTTCACCCACACATACTGATGGCAAAGCCACATTGCTTGCGTATGAATTTTCAAGCTTCTAGCAAGCCCATCTAGCAGAAAAGCTGGGGAAAAAAAAAACTTCCCCTGATTGGAAAACAGCAAGGATTACCACTTTTCTGGCTTTGCGGGCGTTTGCGGGGTATTTGCGGGCGTTTTGCGGGGCGTTCTTGTCGCAAAAAATGTCTTTCAGTGGCTTTTGTGGTATTGTATACATATTGATACGCAGTACATACATACAAGGTATAATCTATAATAATCTATATATAAATATAATGATGTACAGTAGTATAACGACGATCCAAGGGCACTTGGCAACTGAGTATATCATATGAGCCGCAGAAAGTGGTTGGCGCATCATAGTACATGACATACTCGACGGGGTGTTCCTACCTCGTTCTCAGGGTGTTCCTTCCTTGCCCCGTTCGTTTTTACAACCTAAATATCGTAAATATGTATGAATATATATAATATATGATATGTATATATATCATGTTTCCGACAAACCGCGGTACGCACCAAGACTATACTCTTTACTTCACCTTCACTCAATATATACATAATATATATATATATATAAGTATATATATAATTATATATATATGTATAAGATCATGAGATGCTATATTACATTATAAGATACTATAAGACTATGCATGCCGATGTGGTAAAAGTGTTGTGGCCTCAGATGCTTCAACAGTCTTACTCACAAGATACTGGCCTTGCCCAAAGGAACTGCAGAGGTTCACTTTCTATTTTCACCAGCTCATAGTCCCCATCCGTTGACCCATTTTGACCCCAGCTGTCAACTCCTCAACACAAACTGAAGGACTTGTTGTATCTTTTTGTCAATTTTGGCACAAATGTGTTCGAGAAGAACGATGTTTGTAAAAAGAACGATTGTTCGAGAAGAATGGACAAGTATGGAAAAGTTGCGTCAACCCCTCAAAATCCAACCTGATCCATTCTTCTCAGAATCCTTCTTCTCATGTTTTTTTTTTACGTAAAACTGTTTTAATTACAAAATCCACAGAGAAATGTCTGGCGAGAACGACTGCTCTTGCAAGAACAATTGCCTCTTGTGAGAACGATCTTTGATTAAGATGCGCGAGAGAACGATGCAATATCGCTTCACAGGGGGGAGATTGATTATGGTCATATCATATTTATGTTTTGCCAAACATGTCCTCAAACACGGCCCATGAGAACGATGAATGACTTGACATGCGTTTTCCCACAGCATCCCACAGCTTAGAAAGATGAAGCCACTCTAGTCTGGGACCCGTCCCTGGGCCTTGCCAAGGATTCCTTCAAACTCGAAGGTTTGCGGCTCATTGGGGCATGCCTGACATCTGTTTGGCATCTCCGCAATCAATGGGTTGAAGGGAAAATCTCAACCGTTTCCTGTAAATGTTCCCTTAAACCAATCCAATGTTGGAATTATTTGGGTGGCTAGATGGGTGTACAATGGTGTACATACCACAACTCGAAGTAAACATTGGTAAATGTATAGTAGTATAATTGTAGCATACACTAACACACGGCCGTGTCGGCATTGTAGTATTGCACTCCAAACATTGATTGCCTCGGCATGGAGAACAAAGGCTACGGCATGCTACGGCTAGTGCTGCAAGTGACGCATTCTTTGAGACGTGCTTCAGGACAACCGACGACATGTTGGCTTCATGCTCGCTTTTCTCATAGTCTTCAGAGTCAGATTCCGAGACCTGCAGATCATCTGCCTGAAATGTCGTCGAGCGACCATCCCATGTCCACACACTATCAATGAATCATGTACTATTGTCATTAAGAAATCAACATATATATAAATCTAATATAATAAAAATAGATAAAAATAGTGCATGGGAATTGATGGCGGGAATGGAATTCAAATCTTCTGAATTTGCAAAACAGCCACCTTTGTTTTGGAAATTGAAATGGGCTGCAGGCCAAGGGATGTGGAGGATGCATCCACACGATCGAACTGTGGATCCTGCGCGTTTGTCGCAAGCGGATACCGACGACATCGGGGAAGAAGCAAAGAAGGGGGCTTCATATATATATATATATATATATATCGTTTTGATAAGCAAAGAAAGCAAGGATCTGATGATCTCACACACATTTCAGTGGTTGGGGGTCCAAGTGATCCCAAGTGTATCTACAATCTTCTCATGTCGCAGCAGTGCATGCTGTCCTTGCTGTCCCTGCTGGTCTGTGATTCCAGGGTACTGGCATTGCGACTGACCGATCCTGGATCGCCCTGGCATGATGACAGGGGTGGTTTGTCTTGCCTTTAATCATGGGATTCGCTCAAGGCAAACTTTACAGTAACCCCCCATGTGTCCCCATGTATGATTCCCCTGAGATTATCTCGATTCAAACATCGCCAAAAGATAGGGGATATCATCACCAACAATCATGCTTTGTGTTGATATTCTAAACCCTCAAAAAGCAGAACATGCAATGAATTCTCTGATGTTCTTACCTGGCAATGGGAAATCCTCAATAGCCTCATTTCTATTAGGAACTTCATTTATTAAACCTATAATTATTACACACACTATTGTACATAAATGATAATGATTGAAAGCGTGGGACGTTCCCATGGATCATGGATGTTTCATAGGGAAGTTTCATAGTTTTCCATTGCCAAACTCCAAACTGCCATCCTTTACCAACCCCTACCTGCTCACTCTCCGACTTCACAGCCTCAGGTGGTCTCAAAACACTTCGTCCTGTCTTCACATCCAAAGATGGGGAAGGCCTTCCGCTGAGCTCAGGGGGTATCACGCGCACCGCGTGCACCGCAGGTTGCACTTGGCGCAAATGGAGTCGAAGTTCGGTCAGAAGAGCCTGCTGCCGGCCCTCGACCAACTTGAGCTCATCCCTGAAGCGTTCTTCTAACCAATCCGCAACCGAGGCGTCCGAAGCATTGCAATCCATGGTGAACCTAGGTCGAGGTTTTTAGCCTTGACACCAATATGCTGCAAAGACAAAGAAGGACACGGGCGAGTCTGGACACAGCAAATCCAGATGATTGAACATCATTGAGTCATCTGCATCGTGTTCCCACATTTATGGCACAACAAATCATGAGTCAAATTGAGTCAAGCTGTGTTGTGTATCGCATGACCCTGCCCTAGCTGCTGGAGCCTCGTTTGTTCGACGACGCTTCGCCCCGTTGCGTTGGATCTTGCCTCCCCCGGAGCAGTGGCTACCAGGAAATTTCCCACAGGGTTACCCCATGTCATCACCCTGCAACTGCCGCTGAGAGCCAAGCTCTGAAAGCGACGTTTGGCTGCGATGGCAGAGCCTGGCAAAGAAGTTGCTGGCACTTTCCGCCACATATCATTTAGATATTTAGACTAAGATGATGGCAAACCTAGGAAAATACCTGCACCAGCCAACTTCTAACTTAAACTGTCCCTTGGTGCCACCCGCCCTATCTTTTGGCGCATTCTTTGGGCCAGACCGCCTACATCCTGGGCCACCACCTTCCAGCAGCCTGGTTTTCTCGGGTTGGCCAAGAACTTTTGCCATCTCTCAGAGCTCCTGGTTCCACCTGTGGCAGGGTGGCCTTCACATCCTAAAATGGCACCACAATGGCACCAAAACTTTGTCAAAGCAACATGTCAGCGTAGCTGGTGTAACCTAATTATAGCTGCTGAAGTTCAACGCAGTCCAGGAACTGCGTGGCAAAAATCGTGCATATTTTTGTTAAATCAAGCTTGCTTGTATCTATGCCTATGTCCAAAGCTTTTGGCCCCAAAATAAACACAAGGGTCTATTTCAGAGACATCCGCAAAGCAAGCCACCACCAGCCTTCAAAGACTTGTCCAGCGAGATTTTGTAAATCCTCATGACTAACATCTTCAACTGCTACCATCCTGACAATTGGCGATTTTGACGCTTGGAAGGGTGCAAATGATTGGAGATTTGGAAGAACAATCAGAGTTCCTTCTTAAAATTGAATATATGAGTCAATATGAGTCACATATAGAAGGTCCATAACAACTCTCATTTCCAAAAAACGAAACAGCTGAATAACCATTATAACTCAGAATCAGCAAAATGTCTGTACAACCCACTGCATGCCCAATGTTGCAAATTTTCATGATCTAAGGGGCCTGAAAAGATTGCTGCTCCGCGGAAGAAACCGCGAGTGCATGGCAGGCTGCAGGTCCGGCCCCTGCAGAACATAGGACCTGCCAAATACGGGTTGTGGCTCGGCAGCTGCTATGAGCGCGTGGTTTTTTAAGTGCACTGGGTTTGAGGGAAAAAAACGACATGAAACTCATGACACCTTGGATTTCCCCAGCCAAATCTGCAGTTTCCGCAAATCTGCGAGGTCTGGTGACTCTTCGGCGCAAACAGCTGGGCTGACAGGGTCAATGTTTCGCAGGCTCGGGAGGTAGCGACCTAGGGACACCCTTAAATGGTGGATGTGATGTGATACATTTGCTCCGTGCACCCGTGAGTGTTTTGGTCTACGTTGATCACTTTCATTCATTTTCCCCGCCTTC